ACAGAATACCTGTTCTTCCCAACCACGTATAATACACCACAACATACCACATCCCAGGCTAGAAAGCAAACCTCATCAAATTTGAAAGAATTGAAATTATACAGAGTATGTTCTCTCACCATGACAACATAAAACTAGAAACCAATAACAGCAAGATAACAAAAATCTCCAAACACTTAGGAACCAAATGTTTAAATAGGCCTTGAGTCCAAAGACAGATGCCTTTAGGCCAACCAAAAAATGCATTTAACTGAATGAAAATGAAAATGCAGTTTGTCAAAATGTGTGAGATAGAGGCGAAACTCTATTGAGAGGAAATTTAGTAACATGAAATGCCATAATTTCTTGGTTGGGCACAGTGGCATATACCTGTAATATCAGCTACTCAAGATACAGAGATCAGAAGGATCATATGAAAAGAGGATCAGCACCATTCATCCTGCTGTATCAGCTTGGATGATTTGAAGCAAAATATTCTGAGAGCAAGTAAAACTAATATCAGATGTTCTGTTCTGAATGATTCCACTTCTTTTTTTAATATTTTTTTTATTGTAAAGATACTGTACAGAGGGGCTGGGAAAGTGGCTCAGTGGTAGAGCGCTTGCCTTGCATGCACAAGGCCCTGGGTTCAATTCCTCAGCACCACATAAGCAGAAAAAAAGCCTCAAGTGGTGCTGTGGCTCAAGTGGTAGAAAGCTAGCCTTGAGCTGAAGAGCTGAGGGACAGCACCCAGTCCCAGAGTTCAAGCCCCATGACTGACCAAAAAAAAAAAAAAAAAGATACTGTACAGAGAGGTTACAGTTATATGGGCAAGGTAATGAGTCCATTTCCTATCGAGCATTGTTACCCTCCTTTATTTTTCCCCTACCATCCATTGCCTCCCCACCTCCCCAATTCCTCCCTCTCTGTCCCACTCTCCCTCCCCTTACCCACTCCCTATCCCCACCCCACAAAGTTGTAAAGTTCATTTTCAACTTATTGTCTTGTACATCTCATTGTTACAATGGGTCATCCTGTGTCCTTATTTCAGCATTTTGTTATTTCCCTTGTGATTCTATAACATTTTTTAAGTAAAAAAATTGTTAAGTAGAGACAACTGATTAAGAGTTACCAGAGGTTAAAGGCAGGGTGGGAGCAAGATAGACTTGGGTATAACTATAAAAAAAAAGTATAAGATCTTTGTGATTTAAAAAAAAAAAAAAATGCCTTGCCAGGTACCAGTAGCTCAAGCCTGTAATCCTAGCTACTCAGGAGGTTAAGATCTGAGGGTTGCAGTTCAAAGCCAGCCCGGGCAGAAAAATCCCTGTGAGACTCTTATCTCTAATTAGCCACTCAAAATCTGGAATTAGCCCTGTGGCTCAAAAGTGGTAGAGCACTAGCCTTGATCAAAAAGAGCTCAGGGTCAGCACCCAGGCCCTGAGTTCAAGCTCCATGACTAACAAAAAAATGTCTTTTGACAGACAAGTGATACTGTTGTATAATTTAGCAACATGTTACTATTACAGAAAACTGAATAAAATGTACAGAGGATGTTTTTATATTACTGCATTTTTAAATTTTCTTTTTAAGTATATTTTTCTATACAAATACATGGATTATTTCAAAGATTTTTTAAGACTCATAAGAGGTATATTTGTTCTTGAGTTATGCATTCCTCTAGATTGGGCTTTTTGTGCATTTTGCCTAATTGGTTCTTACTATAGCACCTTTTTGAGGATGTGGTGCAGTCTTTCCCTTATTCCCATGTTGTGTCCAGACCTCTTTGTACTGGTAGAGTACGAGAGAACTTCTCCTTGCTACCCATCCCATCTTATCTAGAATTTATCTTTTTTCCCCTCTCCTGCAGGTATTGTATTTTGATCCATTATACTATAGAAGGAAGAGTAGAAACAAAGTAGAAGAGATTTCCAACATGGGAGGTGAAAGAAAGGGAGTTCCCAGTAAGAAAAAAAAAATTGTGACACCACAACCTTTCAAAGGCACTGTGTTTAGAAACACAGGACTCTCCTGCGTCAGAAATGAATGGACACAAAAGAGATATGGAAGATTTTGTCAAGGCAATTTACTTTTGTGCAAAAGGGTCCAAGGCCATTACTCTCCCCAGAGCTAGGCAGGCACACCAAGCAAAGCAGTTTGCTAGGCTTTTATCCTAATCTAAACTGTCCCTCCTCCTTGTAAAGGAGTTAGGCTGACAGTCTTAAGTACAATTGATTGCCAAGGTTAAAAAAAAGGGGGGGGGGGGAATTCTTTCATTCTTGTCAAAGGTTCACTTTTTTTTTCACTTAGCAATTACAGTTTATTATTTTAACTTCTTCAACACAAGATTTATCTCCCTAACATGGCTAGCTGGCAACAAGTAATACAGATAACAGTTACAATTGAAGTAAATAAAGCAAATAATTCCAGGAAATATCAATATACAATACCAAATACACTTTAGTTTGACAGAGAAGAATATGTTTTCTCCCAACAACAACTAGAAAAAATAAATTAGCCCTTGGTGAGGACAGGGGGAGTCTAGATTCTGTTCTATGACCTCATGAAGTAAATTAGAACACAGATGACTCTACCCCTTCAGTGTATCCCATCCTCTGGGCTACTCCTTACTTCCTCATTTAACATAGTGCCCTGGGAGATTATAGACCTCAACACTCCCTCAAACTGCTCCAGTTTTGCCAACTTTTGTAGAAGCTTCAATGGAGGGAAGTTGGCAAGAAGGTTCCACATGACCTTCTTAGGGCTGTCTTCTTACCTACCCGTCAGTCTGTTTATTGCTAAGTGGAAGATTTTTTTATTATTATCTTTAAATAGTTGTACAAAGGAATTGTCATTCAGCAAAGCAGTTTATGAATAAATGCATCTTGAGCAGTATCACCCCTTTCAACATTTTCACTCCTCCTTTGACCTACTCTTCTCTAACTTTTCTTAATTTTGTAATATATATGCAATGAGTTCTTGACTGCATTCTCCTCTCTGATTCATCTACCCCTCTCCCTTTGGCCTTACCCCTCCCCACCACACACACCCTAGCAAGTACCAGTTTTCTGGTGCTTATTTTGTTGGGCTTTAACTCTGTCTTTCTAAGGACATTATTTGAGTTCTCCCAAAAGTCTGCCATATTTCAATTAATACATTTGTAACCACCTCCATACCACCCAACATGTTTACTTAAAGGTAAATTCTAGCTACCACAAATGAGGGAAACCATGCAATTTGTTTTTCTGAGTCTGACAATATGATTTTTACCAAGTCTTTCCATTTCCTCATAAATGGTACAATATCATTCTTTCTAATGGATAAGTAAAAATCTACTGTGTATATGCACCATATTTTGTTGATCTGTTCATCCAATCAGGTATATCTACAGCTAATTCCCTATCTTGACTATGGTAAATAGTGCTGCCGTGAACATGATTGTTTGATGGCTTTACTGTAACCTTTTTTTTTTGTCAGCTATGAGGCCTGAACTCTGGGCCTGGGCGCTGTCCCTCAGCTCTTCAGCTCAAGGCTAGCGCTCTACCACTGGAGCCACAGAGCCACTTCTGGCTTTTTCTGTTTATGTGGTACTGAGGAATCGAACCCAGGGCCTCATGCTTGCAAGGCATGCACTCTACCGCTGAGCTACCTTCCCAGCCCCTTTACTGTAACCTTGATTGTGCTCTATTGGATAAATGCCCAGGAGTGGAATTGCTGGGTCTTAGGGTAGTTCTATATTTCATTTTTAAGGATCCTCCATACTGCTTTCCAGAGTGATTGAACAGGCTTACATTTCTACCAATAGTGTATTAGAATTTCCTTTTGGCCACATTCTCACCAGTATTTGTTATTGTATGTTTACTGGATAATGGCCATTCTAACATTTATACTGGAGTAAAGTGGATTCTCGGTGGTTTTTTTATTTGCATTTCCTTTATTTCCTTCAGAAATGTTGAGCATTTCTTCATGTGTCTCTTGGCCATTTTTACTTCTTTGGAGAAGTCTCTCTTGATGCCCATTTATTGATTGGGTTGATTAAGGTTTTAGTGTTTTTTGTTGAGCTCTGAGTACATTCTAGATATTAGGCCCTTGTCTGATGTATAGCTGGTGAAAAACTTTTTTTAGTTTTTGATAAACTTCTCACAATGCAATAATCTCACATCCCACTTCTATTCTCTGAAACTGGTATAAGGAAAGGGTTAGGAGGAATAGACCATACCACACCTAACGTCTCTTTTTTTTTTTTTTTTTTTTTTGCCCTAAATATTTATCTTACATTTATACCTCTCCTTTTGTTGTTTGGTTACTGCTAGTAATTTTTTTAATGATTTCATTTTTCTATAAATTGAAGGAAGAATCTCTCATTGCCTTTAATAAGAAAAAAAAAACATGTTTTGCACTGTGTGTGTGTGTGAGTGTGAGTATGAGTGTTTGCTGGTCCTGAGACTTGAACTCAGGGCTTGCTACTGTCCCTAAGGTTTTGTGCTCAAGGCTAGCACTCTACTTTTTGAGCCACAGCTCTACTTCTGGCTTTTTGCTGGTTCATTGGGGCTAAGTGTCTCACAGACTTTGCTGCCCAGGCTGGCTTCAAACCTAAGACCTCAGCCTCCTGAGAAGCTAGGATTACAGGCTAATCACATGTAAATGTGAGTAACCCAGACTCTATTTTGCATTTCTAACATTCAGTTTAGTCTCCTGCTTTAATTCTCTCAGCTCTGTTCATTAGGAACTACCTAGAGATCACTTTTTGATCTCTATTCTCAGCTATTAGCCCCACCTAAGAATTTCTTTCCTGCACAAGTTTATCTTGAGTATTTCTAGTCTTTATTTTTCTTTTGTCTGAGCAAAGATGATTTTAGAACACTAATGATTATACAAAGTAGCAGACCAAACTATTAGCTCTATCCTTTTCTCTTTTCTTAACTAAAAATCATTTCTGGGTATTATCTCAAGAGTTCCAGTATACAAGTTCTGTTTTTATCTTTATAAATAGTTACTTTAAAATACTATGTGCTTTTTTAAAGGAACCAACAGTGAAAGAACCTGAAATGAATACAACTCTTCAAATGCGTTTCTTTGGGAAAAGAGGAGAAAGGAAACTTCATTATAAAGAATTTCGAAGGTAAATTTAAATATGTTTATTTAGGAGAATTCAATGAATAGGAAGTGAAAAACTGAACATATTTCCCAGAACTCCAGACCGTACACAAAAATACTATTTCTGAGCCAAGTGCTGGTGGCTTATGCCTATAATTCAAGCTACTCAGGAGGCTGAAATCTGATGGCCATAGTTCAAAGCCAGCCTAAGCAGGAAAGACTAGAGATCTTATCTCCAATTAACACCAGAAAACTACAAGTAGTGCTGTGGCTCAAAGTGCTAGAGTGCTAGCCTTGAGCAAAAAAGCTCAGGGACAGCAGCCAGGCCCTGAGTTCAGGCCCTGACCTACAAAAATAAATAAATAAATAAGACATTTGCATAGTAGTTATCTCTAAGAACTAAACTTAAGAAACATAAAGTTACTATGTTTAGGAAGTGGCTCTGTGGCTCAAATGGTAGAACACTAGCTTTGAGCTGAAGAGCTCAGGGACAGAGCCCAGGCCCAGAGTTCAAGCCCCACAAGAGACAAAAAAAAAATTACTATGTTTAAAATAGGAAAAATACTATCTATCTCATAGAATACAAAAATATTCTTTTTAGTAACTTGATATTTGTAACCAAGAGATATGCCCTTAGTGTCAATTTGTTGTTAATATAAAACAAATTGGGCTGGGAATGTGGCTTAGTGGTAGAGTGTTTGCCTAGCATGCATGAAGCCTTGGGTTTGATTCCTCAGTGCCACATAAACTGAAAAAGCCAGAAGTCCACTGTAGCTCAAGTGTTAGAGCGCTAGCTTTGAGCCCAGGGAGGCTCAAGAACAGAGTCCAAACCCTGAATGCAAGCCCCAGGACTGGCAAAAAATAAATAAATAAAATACAAATATAAAACAGACTATCCAACAATACTTTGAAAAAAGGACCATTCATATTTGGGTACACAGGGTACGGTCTTCCTAAAGGAAAGGTTCTCCTTCCTCCTCCTTCCCTCAGAATTGGCTGATTTTAACTGGGCTTACTTTTATGTTAGAATCTACTGTAAGTTGGCCTACAGGTGCCTGTTTTAAAATTCCTCATCTGGAAGACAGATCTTTTCCATTCTTTAACACAAAGGTTGGCATACTTTTTTCTTTTTTCTTTTTTTTTTTGGGTCCGGTCGTGGGGCCTGAACTCAGGGCCTGAGCGCTGTCCCTCAGCTCTTCAGCTCAAGGCTAGCGCTCTACCACTTGAGCCACAGCGCCACTTCCGGCTTTTTTCTTTTTGCTTATGTGGTGCTGAGGAATCGAACCCAGAGCCTTATGCCTGCAAAGCAAGCGCTCTACCACTGAGCCAGCTTCCCAGCCCTTGCATACTTTTTTCTGTAGAGGCAAAACAGTAAATGTGTTCTGTGTCATTACTACACAGCTTTACTCTTTTTGTTATTGTTTCCTGTGTCAGTCCTAGAGCTTGAACTAGGGCCTGGGTGCTGTTCCTAAGGGGTTTTTTTTTGTTTGTTTGCTTGCTTGCTTACTGCTAGCACTCTATCCCTTGAGCTTCATATACTTCTAGCTTTTTTATATAGGTTTTTTAGGCTGCACTTAAGCAAAGCCATCAGCAGCCTAAGGGTGCTGAGATATAAGTAAGAAAGTGCCTAAGAATGGAGTCTGAGCTTCAGTAAGGATGAAAATAACAAGGGTGCTATACCATATCCACAGTACTGTGGCATCTACTGTCGGTATCCACAGCACCTTAGCAGCAACTGTCTATGCAACATACATGGCGGTTTTTTGTTGTTGTTGTTTTGTTGTCTTCTATATCTTTCAAGGTCAGATAGGCATTCTTCCCTTTTACAACTGGTACCAGTAAATATGTATCACATCATTAATTAACTCTATTCAGGAACAGAGTCTTATCTTTCATTTCTCTCTCATTCTGTAGCCCAATGGCTATCAAATACTTTTAAGTTCCTAATCAAGAATAATCTCTTGGACGCTTCCACTTCTTTCTGTCCTACTTTCCCCACTTATTCCACTATACCAGAAATGCAGCTGTCTTTCACAGGGCTCTGTTTTCTTGTCTTGTCTTCCTCAGTCAAGACCAAGTCTCAAGGCCACTATGAAAAGAACAATTAGCTATGATTTTAAGCCAAATTTCCTCCTTACCAATTTACTGTGCATTCACTTGCAAGTAAAGCATTCTATTATGAATACTAAATAAGAATCAGTTGAGGGCTGGGAAGGTGGCTCAGTGGTAGAGCGCTTGCCTTTCATGCATTAGGCCCTGGGTTCGATTCCTCAGCACCACATAAGCAGGGGAAAAAAAAGCCAGAAGTGGCCCTGTGGCTCAAGTGGTAGAGCGCTAGCCTTGAGCTGAAGAGCTGAGGGACAGCGCCCAGGCCCAGAGTTCAGACCCTACGACTGGACCCAAAAAAAAAAAGAATCAGTTGAATGTCATCTCAGGATAATAGTACAAGAAAATTCAATTAAAAGACAAAAAATATCAGTAAATGGTCTTATTGATTCATCAGTCTACATTTAAAATGTTTAAAAATTTAGATAAAATTCTCCTTTGATGTAGAGAGAAACATGGCATTGAAAAATCTATACATTCAATACATCAAGAGAATGTTGTATGTAAGATATTCTTACCTGTGTTTGGGAAAAATAGAAAACAAAGCAAATAATTTTTTAACGTTGGCAGCTTTTCCCCTGTTGACCTGGAATGTACCTCTTTTTGCTTCATGGATTTCCATTTAAGCTGTGATATGACAGATAGAGATCTTTTAACATGCAGAAAAGTGAATAAGGGATCTGCAATATATTAAAACTTGTGAAGATTCTAATATTTTCCACATGATTTACATTATAAGTAAATCAAGTGTAACATTTCTGGATTTTTGTTCAAAGAAAATAAAAATTATTCTGATGTCCTTTTAATTTGTACCTTTCCCTAAAAGCTATTGGTGAACAATTCAATCAAAGTGCCATATTTTTCTTATAAGGAAAGAATGTTGAGTCATATAGGTATATGTTATCCAAAAGATTACAGAGATTTTTTTTCAGATAGACCCTAAGCTTTTGATGCAAAGCTATTGATTGCATTTGCTAGTTTTAGTGTCAAAAAAAATGAAGAACTACTAATTATGACTAATATTCTAAGAACATGGTATCCCCTAAAATTTAAAACTTTCTGATTGTTGATTATGTTTCTATATTGTAAAGATTGCTTTCTGTGGAACTTTTATTTTCTATGACTGTATCAAAGTTCATCAAAATGTAGGTTACCTGGTAAATCTGCACAAACAAACTGAATACAGGACGTCTCAAATTGAAGCAGGTACTGGAGTTTATCAACTTCTCTGTATCCTTCTCCCACAATCCCTTGGGAAACCCTACCTTCATTGTGCCCACCATATTAAGAGGCTAATAGTGAAATGAGTAATAATATTAAATTTGAATATCACTACCTGCTACTATGTTTTATGTTTTAATATTCAGATTTATGGAAAATTTACAAACAGAGGTTCAAGAAATGGAATTCCTGCAGTTTTCTAAAGGTTTGAGTTTCATGAGAAAGGAAGACTTTGCAGAGTGGCTCCTTTTTTTCACTAACACTGAAAACAAAGATATTTATTGGAAAAATGTAAGAGAGAAGTTGTCAGCAGGAGAGGTAGGTATGCCCTTTCCTTATGCATATGATAAAAATGAAATAAATTAGATATTTTATATAACTAAGTTAATTTCTAAATTAACCAAGATTATACCATTCTTTATTGAAATATGAAATCAAAGAATTTTTTCCACACAGTTTTCCTGTGGGTGAATTCCTTCCAAAGTCAAAATCAATATAGCAACTGTAAATTTGCAATTCTACTAAAGTCAAGAATAAGACAAGAGCCAGGCACCGGTGGCTTATGCCTATAATCCTAGCTACACAGGAGGCTGAGATATGAGGAACAAGGTTCAAAGCCCAGGCAGGAAAGTCTATGATATTCTTATCTCCAAAAACCACTCAGAGAACTAGAAGTGGCACTGTGGTTCAAATGGTAGAGTGTTTACCTTTAGCTGAAGAGCTGAGGGACAGCACCCAGATCCAAGAGTTCAAGCCCTACAACCAACAAAAGAAAAAAAAAAAAAAAAGAGCTGGGCGCCAGTGGCTCACACCTGTAATCCTAGCTACTTAGGAGGCTGAGATCTGAGGATCATGGTTCAAAGCCAGCCCAGGCAGAAAAGTCTGTGAGACTCTGATCTCCAAAAAACCACTAGAAAACCAGAAATGACGCTGTGGCTCAAGAGGTAGAGTGCTTGCCTTGAGCTAAAGAGCGCAGGGATAGCACCCAGGCCCAGAGTTCAAGCCCCACAACTGACAAAAAAAAAAAAAAAAAGTAAGAAAAAAAAAAGAATAAGACAAGAATTCAATAACCTCAAACCTCAATCCTTCCAATTGCAACTTCTGAATAACTAGAATTACAGGTGTGAACCACTGTGCCTATTTCTTACTTTATAGTATATATGGTTCTAAATATATTTAGAGTAGAACTTTTTTAAAGATATTTCAAATACAAAAGAAAATATATATAATAGAAAAGACCATTTAAAATCACAATAGAAATATATAACAACTAGAAATAAATATAACAGGCCAGATGTGATCATGTATGCCTGTAATCTCCACTGCTAGAGAGGTAGAAGTAAGAAGATTGCAATCTGAAGTCAGTTTACTAAAGTGTAAGACCCTATGATAAAAACACTTCAAGTGCCTGCTGCCAGTGGCTCACACCTATAATCCTAGCTACTCAGGAGGCTGAGATCTGAGGATCACAGTTCGAAGCCAGCCCAAGCAAGAAACTCTGTGAGACTCTTACCTCTAATAAGCCACCAGAAAAGTGGCAGAAGTGGCACTATGGCTCAAGTGGTAGAGTACTCACCTTGAGCTGAATGAATAGCTGAGAGACAGCGCCCAGGCCCAGAGTTCAAGCCCCACGACTGACCAAAAAAAAAAAAAGAAAAAAAAAAAACCTATAAGTAGCCAGACGCCAGTAGCTCACACTTGTACTCCTAGCTACTTAACAGGCTGAAATCTGAGAATCACGGTTTAAAGCCAGCCCAGGCAGGAAAGGCCAAGAGACTCATCTCTACTAAAATATCCAAAGAAAGCCAATACAAGAGCTGTGGCTCAAGTAGAAAGAATGCTAGCCTTGAGCAAAATAAGCTCAGGGACAATGCATAGGCCTTGAGTTCAAGCCTCAGGACCAGCACCAAAAAAACCCACTACAAGCAAAAGGACTTTGGAAATGATGAAGTCCCCATACTGTCAATAATTAACAACAACAACAAAATTAGGGATAGCTAGGCACTGGTCATTCATGCTGTAATTTAGCTACATAGGATGCTAAGATCTGAGAATCCACTTTCAAAGCCAGCCCAGATAGGAAAGTCCAGTTAACCACCAAAAAGAGAGAAGTTTAGGTTTGGCTCAAGTGGTAAAGTACCAACCTTGAGAACAAAAGCTCAAGGACACCCAAGCTGCCTACATTCAAGCCCCAGGACAGACACCAGGGGAAGAATAAATAAGTAAGTAAATAAATAAACAAATAAGAAAATTTGAATATACATATTTATATATGAAGACATTTTCATAACCTTGATAGATATAAAGGAAAATGCATTCCTATTTCAAGAGACTCTCTCTGTTATTGAGTAGGAATCTCAGTATTGAAAACAAAACTGTTCTTCTTTTAATTAGTCTATAAATGTAATGATTATATTAGTCAGAACAGCCCATACTTTTTCTAGTTACAAACTTAACCATAAAATTCTTATGGCTAACATCAATGAGTTCTTGTTCAGCCATGCTACATTTCAGTTTTAGGCTGGAAAAAGCACTGTCATAGTTACTTAGGAATCCAAGTCTCTCCAAGGCTCTGCTGTCTTGGAGCCCCATCATCTGGTAGAGACACCATCCTCAAAGACTGTGTCAAGAAAAGAAAGGAAGGAATCACATTCTAGGAATTAAATGTCTTGGCCTAAAACATCACCTGACACTTGGCTATTGGCCAGACTAATCATATAACACCACCTAAATGCACAGAGGTGAAGAAGAGTGGTCTTTCCCCTGTGTAGGAGACAGAAAAATTCTGATATGAGTGAACTCTAATGGGTCTCAATAAAAATGCCATTAAAGGGAAACTAGACAGGCCATACAAGTTAAAATTAAAAGAATGTCAAGATATGAAAGTTATCAAGCCTAGGAAACTAAAAGAGTTTCAGATATGAATTTGACAGATCAATTGAACAAGAATACAAAGTACAGAAATCAACTCATATGCACATGAACATTTTCTATATGTAAGATAGTATTTCAGATTAATTCATAAAAATTATTAATAAATGAAAATTTCACTGGTCAACTGATGGACAAAGTAAGATAACTCTACCTAATTGCTCTAAAACAATCCAGATGGTTCAAAACTTAAATCTTAGAGAAAATGAACCTGAGTATGTATAGGAAAAACTTGGGGGGAAAATATCTTAAAGAGGAACAGATATAGATACAGATCTTCAAAAGCAAAACTCAGAAGCTTTCAAGTAAAAATTGTTGAAATGAGTACCTAAAAATTAAAAATTGTATCACCTCCTCTCATCTTCACTTAAAGATATAATCAAAGACACAAGAAAAAATAGGGTGTGGGATCTTGGCATCACCCATTTAATACCATTCTCCTTAATTTGTAATTGAATTTTTAAAACTTAATGAATAACAAGAACTTTAAGGGGTCTGAGCTATTAAAAACCAACATGTTAGCCAGGCACTGATGGCTCACACCTAGCTACTCAGGAGGCTGAGATCTGAGGATTGCAGTTCAAAGCCAGCCCTGGCAGGGAAGTCCATGAGACTCTTATCTCCAATACACTACTCAAATAAAGCTGGAGGTGACACTGTAGTTCAAGTGGTAGAGTACTAGCTTTAGCAAAAAGAAGCTCAGGGACAGTCCCCAGGCCCAGAGTTCAAGCCTCAGGACCAGCAAAAAAAAAAAAAAAGTCATTGTGTTAACAACTGTAAAGTTACATATTTTTAAGTTGCTCTGTACAATTTTATGACTCCTTACAAGATTAGAGGCAAAAAAACAACAACCTTAAAGCTGTATTATTTGCATAAGTATCATATTTGTTTCAGCTCTTTTCTTACCAAGTCCTCTGAGGGTGATGCTGAGAAGCCAGATGATCTCTAGGATCATTTTGAAGTCAAATGAATACTCATTTGAATACTCATTGCTCCACTTAGTAAACCCTTGGGAAGCTACTTACATAAGATTTAGGCCATGACCGCACACACACAGTAAATGACAGAACTAAAGATTAAGCATAGTCCATCTCACTCCAAAACCCACTACTTTTTCAATGCTGTGTGCACTGATCTAACCAAGTACAAATATACCCAACAGTATTTGTCTCCTGCGCTGCCATAGCAGAGCACACATTGAGTAGCTTCACAATAGAAATGTATTTCTTCACCATGCTGGAAGTGGGAAGTCTGAGGTCAAGGGGCTACCTTTCCAGTTACAGGGCACTTCCTCACTGTGCCCTTATATAGCCATACACACAAAGAAAGAGAAAGGAAGTGAGCTCTGATGTCTCTTTCCCTGTAATAGCAGTCCTACAGGATTGGCACCTCACCCCTATAACCTGCTTCTACCTTCATTTCCTTAGGGCATCAAAATATGAATTGAGGGCAGGGACAAAATTCATTCTGTAACCCAGGACCATGCCAAGGCTTACAGTATGCCTCTCTAAGAGCTCCCATTCACAGTGTCCACTATACACCACCATACACAGTGGCCATACACATCTCTCCTGGTTCCTCCTAAGTTCTAAAACCTATTTTTCTATTATTACTCTGTGTGTCAAACTTTTTAGTAGATTTGCTTAGATCTAAGTTCATAAGCTTTATGATAGAAGACTCATCATTAAATTCATTTGATTTTTTTAATGTATTCATAAAATTGTAATAACCTTTTATTTTCATTAGAGCATTAGTTTGGATGAGTTCAAGTCATTTTGCCATTTTACAACTCACTTGGAAGATTTCGCTATCGCCATGCAAATGTTTAGCTTAGCTCATCGTCCTGTTAGAATGGGTAAGTAAAATCATTGATGTTATCTATAAGCATTTTCAGTCTATTCTTGAAGTAGTTGATACCAACCAAGGAGTCAGCCATCTGTAAAATAATTTGACTTTTATTCAATGTGATTATCACTTAGTTAACATTTACTTTAGGGCTGGGAAGGTGGCTCAGTGGTAGAGCACTTGCCTTGCATGCATGAGGCTCTGGGTTCGATTCCCCAGCACCACATAAGCAAAAAGAAAAAAAGCTGGAAGTGGCGCTGTGGCTCAAGTGGTAGAGTGCTAGCCTTGAGCTGAAGAGCTGAGGGACAGCGCCCAGGCCCAGAGTTCAAGCCCCATGACTGGAACCAAAAAAAAAGCTTTGATTCAATTAAAAGTTACGGTCTTGACATTTCTCAACCAAATTTATGATTGAAATGCATTTACAATGAGTAGTGTTTAGTGTCTCATTTCCCAAATAAGAAGAAATTTTATTTTCACAATGAAATGTAGATCAAGTCTAGCCTGGCTGATGGCCTGTTTATGTTCTGATTTTTAGCGGAGTTTAAGAGAGCTGTGAAGGTAGCAACAGGACAAGAGCTCTCCAACAACATTTTGGACACCGTTTTCAAGATCTTTGACTTGGATGGTGATGAATGCCTGAGTCATGGAGAGTTTCTTGGGGTGTTAAAAAACAGGATGCATCGAGGTTTATGGGTAACCAATTTTGAATTAAAAAAAATTATTACCCAACTCACACCTGTAATCCTAGCTATTCAGGAGGTTGAGATCTAAGGATTGTAGTTCAAAGCCAGCCTAAGCAAGAAAGTCCATGAGACTCTTACCTCCAATTAACCACCAAAATGCCATCAGTGGAGCTGTGGCTCAAGTGGTAAAATGTTATCTTTGAACAAAAAAGTTAAGAGACAGTGAGTACACAGGCCCTGTGTTCAAACCTCAGGACTGGCCAAAAAAAAAAGTTGTTAGCCTGATGTTCATCCTAAAAATTTAGGGCAAATATGTAAGCTTAAATAGAAGTTTAATTATTTATAGAAATTATGAGGCAATGACATAAAATGAGATTGTAACATTTTTCTGCACTTTTTTTTTAATCTGGAGCCAGGTGCCAAAGGCTTGTCCCTATAATCCTTGCTACGCAAGACACTGAGATCTGAACATTACAGTTTGAAGCAAGCTCAGGCAAGAATGTCTGTGAGGACTCTTATATCTAATAACTTACCAAAAAGCCAGAAATGGAGCTGTGGCACAAGTGGTAGAGTGCTAGCCTTAAGTAAAAGCAGCTCAGGTTACAGCACCCAGGGCCTGAGTTCAAGTCCAGAACTGCTTCCCCCACCAAAGAAAAACAAAATTGTTCCTGGATCTAATAAAAACTGCTGCTAAGAAATTATAGCCTAATATTTGGCTTAGAGCTCTGTAGTTAGACATACCTGAATTCAAATCCTGTATGCAAAGCCACTTCATTTTCCTCATTTCTGGATTATGATTGAACTAAGAGAATCTGCCAGGCATAATTATGAGAAATGAGATACCATTATCTGAGACACAGCAATGTTAGTTATATCATTATTCACTATCTATGGGAAGAAATCAACCCTAGAATTCTGTTGAGACTAGAAATCTACAAGTGGATTCCACTACTACTAGAAGTACTCTCATGAAAGAAACATAATAATTGGTAGGTATGGGCTGGGAAGGTGGCTCAGTGGTAGAGTGCTTGCCTTGCACGCCTGAGGCCCTGGGTCCAATTCCTCAGCACCATGTAAGCAGAAAAGCTGAAAGTAGTGCTGTGGCCCAAGTGGTAGAGCGCTAGCCTTGAGCTGAAGAGCTGAGAGACAGCGCCCAGGCCCAGAGTTCAGGCCCCATGACCAACAAAATAAATAATAATAATTGGTAGGTAGGAAGGAAAAGCAGGATATTAGAGAATGTGATGTTCTTGGTCATGAAGGCGAATCTGTTCATTTACAACTTAGAAAAGCGAGTTCAAGCTTCCTTCCACACACATAATTTACAGAAACTATATAAGGTTTTTAATAGCAAACCTGTTTGAAACTATAATCTACTCCCAAGTATTTTTTGGGGTGAGGGAGTATATAAAGGAAAAAAATAACTAAGTAAACATGAAATCGTTTAAAATGGAAGAGAATGATGTAATTTTTACTTTTTTAATCAATTCTTAGCATTCATTAGTTGTACAAAGGGGGTTTTGGTGTAACACTTTCGCAATGTGTCCAAATCAGCCCTGCCTTCCCTGTCACTCTCCTTCAGCCTATCCCTCCTTCTTAAGCAGCAACACTCTTCATTTTTCTATCTTTATATGTGCAGACAGAGTACACTGACCGTCTTCATCTTCCTTCACCTGCTTCATTATCCCTCCCACCTTCTGCTGGTGCTCACCTCTCCCAGCAGAACCTGTTTTACTTTCCTGTCACTTTTTTAGTTGTGTGTTAATTACACCATGGAGTCCTGCTGTGGTATTTCAGATATGCATATATTATATTTTGATCATAATAACCCTCTATTGCTTTCTCTTCCCTATTAATTTTTACTTTTGATTAACAGGTGCCACAACAACAGAGTGTACAAGAATACTGGAAATGTGTGAAGAAGGAAAGCATTAAAGGAGTAAAAGAAGTCTGGAAACAAGCTGGAAGAGGCCTTTTTTAAAGAGATAATGTAGCAGTTATGTTATTCCACATGACAGGAATTGGGGATTGGTTTTTCATAGTACAAGCAGCTTTTCTTAAATCTTCATTGACTCCCTTTATAATGTAAAGATGCCTTCTGATTTAATACTCTGTTGATAAATTTCCATTAAATGACAATAAAAGGAAAAGAGCATATTCATTTACAAAATAGATTGGATCCTGTCAGATCTATATTGGAAGTAATGTTTTGTGCTTTGGTAAGATGGAAAGCATAGTTACTCTCTGACTTCTTAGGTAAGATCAGATGTGCTTTCTGAAAGGTTGAATAAATGCTTGTGAGAAAAAGCAATGGATGTACAATTCTAGATATTATGTGGGTCTGATAGAGTAAATGAAGTTTCAGATTTACTAAAAGTTGTTACCATCTTTATCATCTCAGAAATTTCTCATGTTTTATTTCAGTTAATAGCTTAGCTATGTCTTTGTTGTCTTTAATGTATGTCTCTACATCTTATCTGGAAGCAGAATAAAGTAATTACACAGATTCAGAAAAACTCAGGGCTTTTTATTTTTAAATGTAAATGTTTCTTTGTTTTGTTTTGCGGGTCTCACTGATCTGTATTCTTTTGTTTTTGGTTTTTTTTTGGTCATGCGGCTTGAACTCTGGGCCTGGACACTGTCCCTCAGCTCTTCAGCTCAAGGCGAGCGCTCTACCACTTGAGCTACAGCACCACTTCAGGTTTCCTGGTGGTTTATTGGAGATAGGAGTCTCACAGTATTCCTGCCCAGGCTGGCTTTGAACCGTGATCCTCAGATCTCAGCCTCCTGAGTAGCTAGGATTACAGGCGTAAGCCACCAGCACCCAGCCTGATCTGTATTCTTAAAAACTAGTATGAGATGTCACTCAGAGGCAGAGTGTTTGCCTGGCTTGCAGGAAGGCCTTGGGCTCCATGCCCAGCACTGAAAAACACTAGCAATTGTTGGGAAAATTTTTGTCATAAGATCAGGGTACCATGAGATATACTGAGTTATTTCAATAAATGTTTGAAATGGCCTTAGATATGGAAATCAGTACAAGGCTTCCCAAAAACTAAATAGACATACCTTATAATTCTACTATATCACTCTTGGGTACATATTCAAAGGAGAGTAAATCAATATACAAGAAAGATACTGGAAGTAGCACTGTGGCTCAAATGGTAGAGCACTAGCCTTGAGCTGAAGAGCTAAGGGACAGCACCCAGGCCCAGAGTTCAAGCTCCATGACCAACAACAACAAAAAAAAATGCATACTTGGGGCTAGGAAGGTTGCTCAGTGGTAGAGTGCTTGCCTTGCATGCATGAGGCCCTGCGTTTGGTTCCTCAGCACCACATAAGCAAAAAGAAAAAAGCCGGAAGTGGCGCTGTGGCTCAAGTGGTAGAGTGCTAGCCTTGAGCTGAAGAGCTGAGGGACAGCGCCCAGGCCCAGAGTTCAGGTCCACTACCGGACCCAAAAACAAACAAAAAAAAAGAATCTTAATGTTTGGATGGTTATGTTGTTATTTCTCTGTTTATCTTTTAAAAGGTGGAGAGCATGATCTCCTGAGCTGTGACTTCATCCATCTTCACTATTGTCCAGGGATCTCATCATGCGTCTGGCTTTCATTGTCTCCCATGAACTCTAGGCACATTTGCTTCTATTTCTCTCTCTCTCTCTCTCTCTCTGTGTGTGTGTGTGTGTGTGTGTGTGTGTGTGTGTGTGTGTGTGTGTGTGTGTTGTGTAATGGACCTTAAACAGAATTTTGCAATCTCAGGGTTTTTGTTGATTTTTTTTTTTTTTTTTTTGGCCATGGGGCTTAAACTTAGAGCCTGGGCTCTGTTCCTGAGCTCTTTTGCTCAAGGCTAGTACTCTACTTCTTTGACACAGCTCCACTTCTGATTTTCTGGTGGTTAGTTTGAGATCAGGGTCTCATGGACTTTCCTGCATTGGCTGGCTTTGAACAGTGATCCTCAGATCTCAGCCTCCTGAGTACCTAGGATTACAGGCATGAGCAACCAGCTCCTGGCTGGCTTGAGATTTTTTTGTTAGTTTGGTTTTGTTTTTTTTTTTTTTTTGCTCATGGGTGGTTGGTGCTCTACCAGGATTGTGCTCTGCCAATTGAGCCTCACCCTCACTTCCAGCTTTTTGCTGGTGAATTAGAGATAAGAATTTCTCAGGGCTGGGAATATGGCTTAGTGATGCATGAAGCCCTGGTTTCGATTCCTCAGTACCACATAAACAGAAAAAGGCAGAAGTGGCACTGTAGTTCAAGTGGCAGAGCACTAGCCTTGAGCTGAAGAGCTGAGGGACAGTGCCCAAGCCCAGAGTTCAGGCCCATAACTGACAAAAATAATAATAAAGGGTTAGAGATACAGATCAGTAACAGAGTACTTGTCTAGCATGCTCAAAACAAATTCAAATCATAATGGAGAAAGTAATGTCAGCAGATAGCAGACAATGGAGCTTCAAGAATCTTCTACTAAAATAGCTGTGAAACTGGCAAGAACTATTCAACTGTTTTGAAACTGAAGTCTAGCAGAACACCTTTGGCATCTGTGTTGACGCTTGATGAAGAGGCTGATACATTTTGTGCATTTTGGCAGCAGGCAGGCCACTTTCCAGTGCAGCCTCCTGAAGCCATGGAGAGCAAGGAAATTGTCACCTTGAGTCAGTCGAGGTTGGTTGCTTCAGGAAGCCCATCAATCGCTGCTTTTGATCTGTAGAAGAACCAGCACATAGAACAGTCATCTTTAATTATTATTTATATAATTTTAATTTATTTGTACAAAGGAGGTTCAACTGAGAAGAACTACCAGTACCTGGCCAAGTACACTGTATCTTGATCAAAGTCATACAAGGGGACAATCTTCCAATCCATCTCCACAGGCTGAAGCAGCTTCTCAACCACAGGTGATTTAGGAAGACAGGAAGAAAGAAGGAAGAAAGAAAAGAATTTAAAGCCAGTTCCTGGTGGCTCACACTTGTAATCAGAAGGCTGAATAATAGTTCAAAGACAGCTCATGCAGACATATCAGAGGTTTATATCCAATTAGCTAGCAAAAAGCCAGAAGTGGTGTGTGGTTCAAATGGTAAAGCACTAGGCTTGAGCAAAAAAGCTAAGCAAGAGTAAGAGGCCTTGAGTTCAAGACTCAATACTGGCACAAAAAATCTGGGCTGGAGGCATGACTCAATGGCAGAGCACTAACCAAGCAAGCTCAAGGACTTGAGTTCAAATTCCAGTAGCATCCCTCCCCCCCCCAAAAAAAAAACAATGACCTTATTGGCTAGGCAATATGTATCTGTTCAAGTAGTTAAGCCTGGGAGAATAATGGGTTTAGACCAGCCTGGCAAAAATGTTCACAAGACTCTATGTTAACCAATAAAAAGCTGAGCGTAGTGGCACGTGCCTGTTATCCCAGTGATACGCCCAGGCTAAATGTAAGACCCTACTCAAAAAATAGCTGCATCTGGGCACTGGTGGCTCATGTCTGTAATCTAGCTACCTAGGAGGTTGACATCTGAGGATCTCAGTTCAAAGACAGCCCTGTCAGGAAAGGCTGTGAGACTCTTTATCTCCCATTCAACCATCTAAAAACCAGAAGTGGAGCTGTGGCTCAAAGTGATAAAGTGCTAGCTTTGAGCACAAAAGCTCAAAGACAGCACTCATGCAGAGTTCAAGCCCTATGACCAGAAAAAAAAAAAAAAAAGCTAAAGCAGAGACAAGATGTGACTCAATTACTGGAACATCTACCTCACAAATACAAAGCCCTGGGTTCAAGCCCTAAAATCACTAAAAAATGGAGCCACTAATACTACCTCAATGTCATAGGATAAACATGACAAAAATGATAAGATATGCAAGGGGGATAAAAAGGATCCTACAATCTGATTAGAAATATCAGAATTCAATACAAAAGTTCCACAAGATGGCACCCTTGCTATTCCAAAAACTTTTATCTTTCTTGGGCCCTGAGCATGAGCTTAAATAAAAAGCACAAAAGAAATACAGAATATTTCAAAAGCAACTAGAAAGGAAATACTGTGGGAGACTTTGAATTGGCATACTTTAGCTAAATAGTTACCAAAAATGGATTCATGAATTATGCTGTAATTGTACAGTGGAATTCTAGACAGCTGTTAAGTGGTGACTGAAGAAACTAGCTGATTTTGCTGACTACTAAACTATTCTCTTTCTCCTCCCTTCCTGGCATGCTTGGCCTTGGCATGGCTGGGCAGCCACCCTAGAAAGGCCCCATTCTTTTTTGCCTGTTGGCAGCATGCTGAGCTCTGCCTCTAGGGGGCAGTAGATGGAAACTGAAAGCCTGGAGTTAGAATGTGCCTGTGTCCTATCAATGTGACTTGTGTCCAATCTCAGCTTTCGCCCTGCAGCCCTTGGTACCAGTCTCTGGCTTTTATTTATTAATTTATTTTGGCACTCTCAGAACTAACCTCTTTGTTCCCCCTACTCCTCCCATCCTTCATTCCATCCCCTAAGACACCCACACCAGCCTCTTTTAAGCTTCTAGATTCAAAAACCTCTAACCCTTTCCCTCTGTTCCAGTGACAGCTGCTTCAAGCAAGGACTTACTCTGTCACTCCATTGTTTCTTGTTTCTTACGTATCCTAACACCTGTTTAATTTCTTCAATTATGTTTTCTCTGTTGTAATCATCTAAACTCTGATATAATAATCCTGTGTAGGGAAATACAGACAAAAGCTGGAGGAACAGATGCAAAATACATATGTATATAAAGTTGTACATATATGAATATACAGATGAGAATGTAGGTGGAGGGAGGTGCTTGTGGGTGTATACCAGTCCTGGGGGAACTCAGGGCCTAACCACCATATGTAAGCTTTTTTTTTTTTTTTTTTTTCTGAAGGCTAGCACTCTACCACTTGAGCCACATCTCTACTTCCAGCTTTTGTATGGTTAATTGAAGATAAGATTCTCACAGTCTTTCCTGCCTAGGCTGGCTTCCAAATGTGATCCTCAGATCTTAGCCTCCTGAGTATCTGGGATTACAGGCATGAGCCACCAGCACCTGACAGGCATATTTCTTATATATACTATAATTGCCCCATCTATCTATCTACCATATATCTATCTAGAGATATCTATATCTTTGTAAATAGATCTACATCTATATAGAGATCCATTGATAGATCATAGATTTCTCTAGATAGTTCATATTAGATATATTGCACATAAAAAGGTATCAAATCATCACAACAACTGCTATGAGAAAGATACTGTTGTGGGGCTGGGAAGGTGGCTCAGTGGTAGAGCACTTGCCTTGCATGCATGAGGCCCTGGGTTCGATTCCTCAGCACCACATAAGCAAAAAGGAAAAAAATCGGAAGTGGCGCTGTGGCTCAAGTGGTAGAGCATTAGCCTTGAGCTGAAGAGCTGAGAGACAGCGCCCAGGCCCAGAGTTCAGGCCCACGACCAGATTAAAAAAAAAAAAAAAAAAGATCCGGGCGCTGGTGGCTCACGCCTGTAATCCTAGCTACTCAGGAGGCTG